CCAAGGGGAAGGACTCCAAAATTACTGTGCCCTCTCCACTCCCAGGAAAGACAATTAATCAAAGCCCCTGGGGATGGGAAAGAGTGGTAGAAACTAGCACCAGCATTAGAGACCTAAAGGATGCAGCAGCACAGCCCTAACATATTTCTAATTCACCATTCTGGCTCCTCCGGAAACTGAATGCGTCTTGGAAAATGTAGACTACTGTAAGCTCGGTCAGGTAGCAGCCCCAGTCACAGCTGCTGCACCATAGGTCGTATTGTTGCAAGAGCTGACTGAGAAGTCTTCAGGTACGTGATATACAGATACGGGCTTAACAAATGCATACCTTTTAAAATTATGATCAGAAGATGGAGGAAAAATGACATTTATATGTAATGGACAACAATATTCTCTTCAAGTTTTTCCTCAGGACTATATTAATTCTCCCACCGCTTCGTCATAATTTATTCAAAAGTCTGGACCATCTGAACATTTTACAGTTTATAGCGTTGATGATATTATGCTGATTTGGGTAGAACAACACCAACAGCAACAACAAAAAACAGGTAGCTAATACGTTAGAGGCCTTGCTAAGACATTATTTCAGGGAACTGCTATTTGAGTTGGGTTTTTAGAGGTCTAGTAGTCACGGGTATTTGAGATATCCCCTACAAGGTAAGAGACAAACTGATGCATCTTCCAATCCCTATCAGATAAAAAGAAGCACAACACCTGATAGAGAATTTAGAGTTCTGGCTGGAATACATTACACACATAGAAATACTGTTATAACCCTTACGTCCTATAATATGGAAGGCTTTCAGCTTTGAACGAATCTCAGAGCAGAATGGGTTTTGCAATTGGTCTAGGCTATGGTATAAGCAGCCCTACCACTTGGGCCATATAATCTGGCAGGATCTATATTGTTGGAAATGTAAATGGTGAGAAAAGATGGAATGTAAGCTTATCGCAAACCCCAGTGGGAGATTCATAATGCATGTTGTTGGGGTTCTGGGAAAAGGCCATGCCATCTGCAGTAGAGAATTATACTCCATTTGAGAATCACCTGCTGACATGATGCTTGGCCCTGGCACAGAAACTTGACCATGGGCATCAAGTGACCGTGTGTCTGGAACTGCCCCAACTGAGCTGAGTTCCCTCAGACCTGCAATATCAGGAAGTCAGTAGGCTCAACAGCAGTCCATCGATGTTAGAAGTGGCACATACGAGATCAAGTCCAAATGACAACAGAGGGCAAAGGCCACCAGCATGAACAGATGGCCCAAACCCCAAGTCACTTACGACGGCTGTGCTAGGTGCTCCTTTGTGAAAAAATTCCCCATGAATAGCTGAAGAAAGAAGAAAAAAACCTAAGCTTGATTTGTGGATGGGCAGGTTCAGGACATATGTGCAAATTGAAGCTGGATAACAGTGCACAGTGTTGCTTGGTAACAGTGGAGAGAGAATCTTCCTGAAGGATAAATGGAACCTGGCCATCCATTCTATAGAAAGGCGCCTGAGGGCAGAACACATCCGGATTTCTGGACATTTGCTAATGGCCAGTCAGCAGCATGGAAGGAAAAGCCTTGAAAATCAGAGGTGAGAAGTTCTGGGGTAGCATGTGGATGGACACTTGGGAATTGGCGTGAAGTACGATTTTTGAGTCATATGTTAATATCCAGCAGAAAGCACCCACCAAAGAAAAGACACTGAACAATGAAGTCGACAGATGATCTGACCAGTTGACATCAGCCACTTTCGTCACTGGCCATTTCAGAACTGGCCTTTTAGGTACATGAATGGAATGGCCACAGCCCATCATGTTGGTATTTCTTGAACATAAGCAAAGATTAGATAATGTTTGTGCTTATTAGTTTGCCTTTTAATTTTTTCTCATACCTTTCTATTGTGCTTAAAATCTACAAGCCAAGAATCATAGCAATTATATAAACAAGTCATGAAGTTCAGAAGAAAATTATCAATACAATTAGGTAGCAAGACAGAGTTCTACCAGAAAAACAGTAAATTCCACCGAAAGTGAGCCTTATTTTGTGGGCTGCATATTTTTAGATTCACATATTGACTCATATTGAATTTAAATCAATATTGAATTGAATTTTGAATTCAATTTTAGAATATTGAATTTAATTTAGGGTGCCTGGGTGTGTCGGTGGTTGAATGTTTGCCTTCTGCTCAAGGTGTGATCCCGGGGTCCTGGGATCGAGTTCCCCACCGGGTTCCAGCAGGGAGCCTGCTTCTCCCTCTGCCTGTGTCTCTGCCTTTCTCTCTGTGTCTCTCATGAATAATTATATAAAATCTTAAAAGATAATAAATAAATCTTGTTCTAAAACTTGGCTAATTATATTGACTTTTGCAGTGAGGGGCACCAATTACATAAAATGGGCACCAAATGAATCCATGGAAAGGTTTTTGTTCGTTTATTTGTTTTATTTCAGTAGGCTCCACTCCCAGCATGGAGCCCAATGCAGGGCTTGAACTCTGGACCCTGAGATCAAGACCCAAGCTGAGATCGAGTTGGATGCTTAACTGCTTAACTGACTGAGCCACCCAGGTGCTCTTCAACAGAAACATTTTCTTATGCTCCAACCCTTTAATTTGGGAAAACTGAGGCCTTGCGAGGGGAGATCATGTTGGAGCGTAGGTAATGGTAAAAGTATGGTTAGAACCCAGTTATTCTGACTGCCAAATTTTCCACTAAGTTGATAGTCTCTTGAACATAGAATAATGTTATTTGAAATCACCATGGTTACTTATATGAAATTCATATTCCTTGAAATAAGTGATTTCTTAATTTATCTTAATGATGGCCCTCAATAACTGAAGGAAGACATTGGTTTCTTTCAAAGGAAGACTTAAAAATATAATCCAAGAAAGTGGTGGGTGTGCTGAAAAAGTGTGAAAAGTGATGGAGAGTAGGTTGAAAATCCCCAAATTAATAATTTGTCTCAGTCATGTGCTCACATATTTGAGAGCAAATATCTTTTGGAAAATGTTAATTAACCTATTTTATGGTTGGACTCTTTGATTACCATGTACCTTCCCGAGATGAGGTTGTAGATTTTCCATCCTTAATTCTAAGATCTCATTTAAAATTTTTATATACTTTTGGTCAGTTTAAGAACAACATATCACTTTCAGGGTTATTTCTATTTCAGATTCTAAACTTCAGATTATTTCTGGGGCACTAGCTAATCAGTATTCCACCCTGGTTTTCTTTAAATTTTTTCCTTTCTTTTTCGGATTCTTCATCAATACAAGTATTTCCATCGCCTGGATGATGATACTGAGATCAGAAGGTGATAAAACCTTATGTGAGAGTAATTTTCTCCTTCTCTATTTCACAAGTTCAATATATTTACTGTAAAATACTTTTACCATGTCACATGTATTTTGTGTAATAGTGATCACTTAATATAAAATTCATTGACAAAAGATACTTAATGACAAGAGATGTTTACCCAAAATTTGTAAGAAAAAGGGTACTCTTATCTGAGATTTGACAGGATGCTAAAATCAGGAAGGGCCAAGAAAGTTTAAGTGACTTTTTTCACCTCTCTTGTTCTCTAGACTATCAAAACTCAAAAAAGCCTTTTATTATTATACCAATGCCATTCTGGACTCTCGGTCCTTTGACCTTTTTTGTCTCCACACTGCATCTCCTGACAGGCTATCTCCTCGCTCCCAACCTTCCTCTTTCCAAAGTTCTAAGAGAGAAATAGTTCTTTGATCTATCAGTGTTTCTTCTGACATTGATTCCACCTAGTTTTTGTCCTTTTCTCCCTTTTTTTAAAAAAAGATTTTATTTTTATTTATTTAAGAGAGAGTGAGCAAGTGAGCAATATAGAGAACACAAGCGGAGAGGGGCAAGGGAGAGGAAGCAGCAGACCCCCCCCCCCCTGCTGAGCAGGGAGCCTGATGTGGGGTTCCATCTGGGATCCCGGGATCATGACCTGAGCTGAAGGCAGACATTTAACTGACAGAGTAACTCATTTGCCCCAGCCCTTTTTTTTCTCCCTAGAGAAAAGGAAAGTGTGTGTGTGTGTGTGTGTGTGTGTGTGTGTGTGTATGCATGTAGGTGAGTGTGTGTTGGGGGTGTGTGTGAGTAGGAAGTAAGCAGGTGACTAAGGCGGCCTTAGCATTTCACCCAGCTGAACCAAACGTTGGCAGGCTTTTTCCTTCCCCCAGGGCCCTGCTGCCTCTTCCTTAGTGCTCACTTAAGTTTTGGTTTTTAGTTTTTAACAGCTCCATTAAGGTATAATTGAGATACAAAAAGCCACATATTTAATGGGTACATTTGAGGAGTTTGGACGTATGTTAACACCTGTGAAACCATCACCACAATCAAGGTGACTCACATATTTATTACCTCCAAAAGTTTCCTCATGTCCATTTTTTCTGTGGGAAGAATACTTAACATGAAACTTAAACTTTTTAAGTGCACAATCCGGTACTGTGAACTCTAGGCACACATTATACAGCAGTCTCTAGAATTGGCTCATATTGCATAATTGAAACTTTATGCAACAACAACTCCCCAGGACAGGCCAGTAACTAAAGGGGAAGTGTTTGCAATAGTCCAAAGGAAAGAATTAAAGAAAGTGAAAGATGAGTTTTTTGATGCCTTGAGGTTGAGGGGGAGAAAGAGAGGGAGGATGGTGTCAAGGATGTTGTCTTTTTTTTTTTTTCTTGCCATGGTTCTGACAATAGGAACCACTGAGGAGTTTTTTTTTTTTTAATTTTTTTATTTTTATTTATTTATGATAGTCACAGAGAGAGAGAGAGAGAGAGAGAGAGAGAGAGAGAGAGGCAGAGACACAGGCAGAGGGAGAAGCAGGCTCCATGCACCGGGAGCCCGATGTGGGACTCGAACCCGGGTCTCCAGGATCGCGCCCTGGGCCAAAGGCAGGCGCTAAACCGCTGCGCCACCCAGGGATCCCCCACTGAGGAGTTTTAATAGGGAAATGTTATGGTCAGATTTGTATTTCAGATAGATCACAGGCGGCTGTATGGATGATGCTTTTGGAAGAGATGAGGCAACAAAGCCACAAAGAGGCCATTGTGAAATCCAAGTAAGAGTTGCAAAGGCCTGGGGGGCGCCTGGGGGGCTCCGTAGTTGGGTGTCTGCCTTCGGCTCGGGTCATGATCTCCCTGCTTAGCGGGGAGTCTGCTTTTTCCTCTGCCTCTGCTTCTCCCCCCATGTGCGTGCTTGCTCACCCTCTCTCAAATAAATAAAATCTTCTTTTTAAAAAAGAAGGAAATATCTGAGGGAGGTATAACTGAATTAAATATTCTAGGCAGTTACAATTCCTTTAGTCTACAAGTCCTAACTGCTACTAAAGTCTGTGACCTCCTTTTAGAAGGCAACAGCAGTACATCGGAATAGCCCCTTTTAGGCAAGAGTTGAACCATTAGAAAACTCTATAATCAATTAATGATAGTAGTTCCTTGAATTTTGCAGGTAGAACAGAAAATGAAATTCTCCAGTTCCACAGAAGCAAGCTGGCCCCAGAGCAGAAACTTTTCTTCACTGAAAGTAGAAATGTCAGCTGAACACCCTGAGGTCAGTATGAGCTTAGCAAGGCATTTCATGGGGAAGGAAAGAAAATTGGTCAATTTTGCTAATCAGGATTGTCTCTGGTTCAGCTGTCTTGCTTTGGACTTTTAGGTACAGTTCTGTAGACAGTGAAGAAAAAGGTAATCCCTTGCTTTATGGAAACATGCTCTGAAGTAGAGACCCTTAAATATGCCTCTTAAATATGTAAAATATTTCTATATTTTACTTGCAAGTTTTCCCATTCATAAATAAAATATACAATCAGATACTGCCTTATCTGAATCATAACACTTATTTAAGAGCATACCATTATTCCACCAAATCAAAATGTATGGCACTTGATACAATCTGATTCTGGATGACTTACAGACCTCTCTTTTCAGCTCTTCTTGATCATTGCAAACTATACTTGGCAAATACAGTTGTCTGGTGTTTTTTGAAATAAGCAACACATTTCACAACACTTTACATGTTTACAATATTCCCTAACCCTTAACTCTTATTCTCTTGGTTCAACTGTTAAGTTCTAGTCTCCTTGGAAGACTTTACTTATAATTTCCTTTCCTTGCAATTTGCCTGATGTGCCCTGGAAGAATTAGTCATTTCATCTTCGGATTTAATTTTTATTGTGATTTCTTTCCCCAGGCCATGGGTCTTTACTCTCTTTATTTCCCTCTTCAATGATTACATAATCTATGATCCAACAATTTAAAGCCATCTGGTCCTGAACCCCAAATTCCCTTCCATATCTTTGTGTCTAATCCATCTGTTAATCTGAATCTCAGTAAAATTTATTCTCTGCTGCTACATGTAAACACCAAGTCAAGGCTGGGGAAAGTCACATGACAAGGCAGATGGGTATCACTGTGTGTTGTCTCTAAACTCCAATGAGGTGTCAATATGCACACCTTTCTCTCCCTACTTGCTCTCCCAGTCATCTCTGGGACTATTTTAAGCCTCCTTTATTCTCTTTGAAGGTCTAACCCATATTCCCTTCCTCTTCTCTGTAAGCAGATGACCTCACATCTTATCTCAACGAGAAACTCATAGGCATCAGAAGGGAACTCTCTTAACGTCTTCCTGTCCAACATACAGCCTCTCTACATTTGTACTAATAACCTCCTTTTCTGCTGAGCAGACGCTCAACCACTGAGCCACCCAGATGCCTCAGGGCACTAGTTTTATCCTTGGCTGCCCACTGACAACAGCTAGGGAGCTTTGAAAATACACTTATGCTTGGCCCAAAAAACAGAGATGAGATTGGAGTTTGCTATCCATGGTTTTTAAAGCTCTTCAGATGATTCTAATGTGGAGTCAGGGCTGGGAACTGACCCTTAGAGAAATTTTCCTTTCTCCTCGTGTGTGTGTGTGTGTGTGTGTGTTTAACAAGTACTTTGATTCCATCTCCTTCTACTGCACACTAAAATTTACTCACTGCCTCTTTTTTGTATGTAGCCAGAATGTAGAGAATCATTCCGTCTCAAATATTTCCTTCCCATTGACTTTGAGATTTACTCAATCCTCTCTCACCTTAAAAATAACACCAAACCAAATCGAACCAAACCAACTGACCAACCAACCAATTAAACAACAAAAAAACTTCAGATTTCTTCTTCATACCTGGGATGGTCATTTTTATGTGTTGACTTGATTGGGTGTGGTAGCCAGTTATCCAAACACGATCTATACCTGCTGTGATAGTATTTCATAGAGATGATGAGCATCTCCAGTCAGCTGACTTTAAGTGAAGAACTTAAAGGGGCCTTAAAATCTGTCAAAATGAAGAAATACCACCTGTGGACTGTGGTGTCTGCTTTCTGCCCAAGTTTCCAGCCTGCCCTGATCCAATCCAAGTGTCTAAAAAGACTTAAATACTTGTTGAATCCATTTTTAAAAATTGGTTTCTGTCCCCATCGTTCCACTGAAACAGCCTACAGAAGTTATAATTAACCTTGTTTTGCCAAACGTATTTTTCATTCTTTTTGAAAAGCTTCACTTTTTTAACCATTACTTATTCTTGCTCTTTTGAAATTGTTTTAAATTGTGAAAAATACAATACACAAAAGAATGTGTGCTTTAAACAATAATTACTATGCAAATATACATATAATTACTGCACAGATTAAGAAATAGGACATTGCTAGTGTCTTAGAAATCCCGTAAACACTATTCCCTAATGACATCTGCTTTATCCCTCCAGGAAGAATCTATTCTTCCTTTGTGCTCATCAGTCCTTTTATTGTTTTCACAGTTCTTAGGATCACGCTGTTGGTTGTTTTGTTATTGTTGTTGTTATTTTTGTGGCATGTTGCTTTTCCTCTGTGTTTTTGTGAGATTCATTCATATTTACTGTCTTGCATTATTCTGTTCCGTTGCAGCACTACAAAATATCCATGTTATTATAGATGAATTTGGGGGCTGTTTTGAGTTGGGGGGTCACAGCAACTGATACTGCTATAAGTACACGTACACGGATGATATTCAAAATCCTTACTGGTGTATACGGCAAGGTCACATACTGATCACAAGTTGTCAAACCCACCTGAATGGAAGCCAGACCAACCAGAAATAAATTTCTCTGTACACTGTTAGTACATACTGGCTAAATAGCCACCCAAAACACTTGAAAATGTCTCCAGACCTACAAGTTCAAGAGTTTTTCTGATGTTTGTATCTAGAAGTGCAATTCTCAAGTGGCAAGGTATGGAAATCTTCAACATATAAGGTAATTTCTAGCTATTTTTAAAATGGTTGTGACGATTTATACTTCTACCATTTTATACTTAATGAGAATTCCATTTCCAACATTTGGCTTTCTCAGACTAGATTTTTCCTTATGTATGTGCATATTATATCACTGTAATTTAAATGGAATTACCCTGGAAACTGATGAGCTTGAACATCTCCTTATATGTTTCTTAACCATTTGGATTTCTTCTCACTTCAAGTATTTGTTGAAGTGTTTTTCCTGTATTTCTATTTTGCTGCTTTTCTTTTACTTCGGATTTGTGTTACATATTTTTGACACTAGCCTTTTTCTGTTTGTTTTTTTTTTATATCAGATATCTTTTCTGATTTTTTGACTGTTCTTACTCATTTCTTTATGGTATCTGAGGAACAGAAGTCTTTATTTATACATAGTAGTATTTACCTTATTTTCCTTCTGAATAGTGTGCCTTGTTTAAGAAATCTTTTCCTCTCAAGTTTATGAAGTTATTTTCCTATATTACCCTCTATATTTTTATAGATTTGTCTTTCACATTTAAGTCTTTAATTTACATAGATTTCTATCTTTGCAAATTGTGAGAGACAGGGTCTAAAATCATTTATTTTTATTTTTTTCCTAGTGGCTCCGTTGACTTACTATTTATTGCAAGTTCATGGCTTTTTGCAGACCTGCTTTATCTCCTCTATTGTATATATAGTGATCATTTATGGACCATTTTGTTCCATTATTCAATTTAAACTGCAACAGCCCTATATTCTTAATTTTTATACTTTTATAATAAGTCTTAGTATCTGTTAAAAATATTCTTGTATCTAGTTCTTGCTTTTTCAGTGAGCTCTTCCTTGGCCCTATGTTACTTCAACATATATTTTATAATCAGTTTATCAAATCCCTTACACATTTAAAAAACTTAATTGCATTGACTCCATGGATTTGTGTTTTGGGAAGAACTGCCTATCATTACTATATTCAGTTTTTCAATCAATGAATGTTGTATTCAGCTCTTATTTAGTATCTTTAAAAATTTTTATTATTTTATTTGTAGAAGTCTTGAATTTCTTTGTTAATTTGTTCTTAGGGATTTGATACTTTTGATACCAGTAAAACTAATTTCTTGAAATTTTCATTTTCTGGTGATTTCTTGTTCAAAGAGAAGAAATTTATTTCTGTGAAGTTTTTATAGTTAGTAAGCTTGACAAATTCTCTTACATATTTGAAAACAAATTGTTAATTTTTTTGTATTTTCTGCACACAAAGATGTATAATTTACAAATAATTATAGTTCTTTTCTTCTTTCCCATTTCTTACTCCTTTACTTGTATTTTTCTTCTCTTGCTTTGACACAATGGCTAGAAACTCTGGTGAAGGTGTTGAAGAGAATGGTGACTATAAGCATATTTGCTTTGTTTCCGATCTCAAAGGAAGAGCCTTCCGTCCTTTTACCAGCAAGATTTATTTGTTTGTTTTTGGTGAATAATATTCAGCAGATTTAAAAAGTACTCTTCCATTCCAAGTCTGCTATAAAGCTTTTTATTATGAATGGATTTTTAATTTTATCAAATATTACCCAGAATCTTATGATTTTTGTACCTTAGTACAAATGTACTAGATTTCATTAATTCATTTTCCAACATTGAAACAATCTTGTGTAACTGGGATAATTCAGCTTGGTCATGATTCTTATCATTTTCATTTTCATACATTATCAGATCTTTGGATCTTGGTGTATATATTAATTTTTCCTTCCTGATAACGGTAACTTGGACATCTTTCTCCTTTGATTGCCATGTTTGTTAATTTTATTGAACTTTTTTTTTCAAAGGATCAAATTGTTGGAAGGTCATTTTTTTATTGCATAATCCATGGAAATAATTCTTAATTTTTACAAATAATAAAATAAAAATGTGATATAAAATAAAAAATAAAATTTTAAAAATAAACTTACTTTTTTGGAATTGTCATGTAAACAGAGAGAAAATATTTCAACATTTTGCCATCATAATTTTATTATTACTTTTTTTTTAATTTTTATTTATTATTTATGATAGTCACAGAGAGAGAGAGAGAGAGGCAGAGACACAGGCAGAGGGAGAAGCAGGCTCCATGCACCAGGAGCCCGATGTGGGACTTGATCCCGGGTCTCCAGGATCGCGCCCTGGGCCAAAGGCAGGCGCCAAACCGCTGCGCCACCCAGGGATCCCTATTATTACTTTTTTATAGAAAACTATTTTGGCTCAATTTCCTATGGAAGCTATAAACTATAGATGTGGGGATTTTTCAGCTCTTAAATGCCTAGATAATAAACAGAGAAATCATTAGTCATCATCTAATTACAACCTTTTAGATCTGGCATTATCTTCAAAAAAATAGTTCAAGATACCATTGACTTTTCTTATCTATTTCTTTATGGATAAGAATGCTCTTAAAAGTTTACCATATTAGATACTACACTTGATACTACCACTTGCTCTTAGCCAAAAGGCCAAGAAGCAATAGCATATCAGATAAAAGTTGATCAACCAGTGTTAATGCATTCCTAAATTTGGTTACTTTTATAGAGATAAATAGGAAAATAAGAATGCAAGTTAAATAAATCTCCTATATTGTTTTGAAGTTAAGGAAATGATATATAACTTCCTTGCCATAGAGAGGAAGTTATCAAAGAATATAAGAAACACGTAAGTTCACTCAAGGATGTCCCCAACACATTAAGAAAGGTAAATTTGACCATTAATAATGGTTTCAATGAATTAAAGCATATCAAATTTTGAATCACTAAATTCTACTCCTGAAAACCAATATTATACTATATGTTAACTAACCAGAATTCTAGAATTTCAATAAAAACTTGAAACAAAAAAAGTAAAAAAAAATACAAAAAAACCTACCAAATTTGTTTTCATCCTTGAGTTGTTACCAGTGATAATAAAAATAAAAACAAAAGATTATTAGTCATCTTTGGAGGATGATAGGGAACCATTTCCTATTTTGAAAAATGGTAAGTAAAGGAAAATTGTCCAATCTTTTATGCCTTTTACCTAACTTTCCATACAAACTATACTACTGGGTAATCGAATACTGGTTGAGAGAAGTTTATCTTTTAAAAAGTATTCCAAGAATAAATGATGATTGAATTAGAATATTACCATTCTGTAATATTTCATTAATTAATAGATCTATACTACCCATTGAGCACCAGTGGCTGTAAACAGGACAAAATGGAAGACAGTCAGTCATTATATATCTCCCAATAGAAGAATATAATGCCAGCTTTTGAGCTTGAACCAGAATCATGTCAAATCTTAGAGCAAAAGACCAAGTCACAGGCAATACAGAGAGAGAGGAACTTGTTAACTACACTGTAAATAAGCAATCAGCAAAGACCTGATTTAGTGGAAAGACCAGGTTTCTTCAAAAAGTAAGAGTCACTGAAAAAAGAAGGGCTGGGGGAGAATATGTAGTTTAGGAAAGAGAAAACATTTTAAAAATAACACAGCAAAATCACTCGAGTATTTGTTGACTAAGGCAGGTAGATGTCAGTGATGATAACCCAGGAAATAACTATCGTATATATATATTCAAGGTGGTAGTTACATTTAGGGTTTGGGAGGGTGTTGGGAGAAGGAGGGGTGAAATGGAGGTCTTATGAGATGACTGGCAAAGTTTAATTTCTTGACCTGGGGGGGTGGTTACAAGAGTGTCTGACATATAATAATTTATTAAACAATAAATTAACTTAATTCTGTTTTCTGTATCTGTGCTGGGCTTAAAATTTGTTTTTTAAACTGGGTGAATGAATACGTATTTACGATATAATGTTTAGAGAAGATGTTATGAGAAGTTCTATTTCTATAATGAAGTATCAATTTATCAAGTTGGTAAACACAAGAAGTCAAACTTGATATTTTCAGTATTTATTAGTAAGGCTGAGGCAACAGCCTTTTTATACAGCACAATCTGCATAAGGTATCAAGATACATCTTGTATACAATCACAAAACCAAGACATATTTTTACATAGAGTAAAACTCAAGACAGATTTACAAGCATTTTTAGTACAATTTCATGTATTTCAGTTCAATTTATACAACCTTTAGCCCAAGAATTTGTATTTGTTCATTAGATTTTCCAGAGAGATTTGGGTAGAACAGAAAAGAAAACATTAGCAAATCACCAACATGGCATGCAACATGTAGTTAGAAACAAGACATATCTCCAAGTACTTTATTTTTTATTTTGAAATAAATTTTATTAGATTTTTACTTTTTCAGACAAGAGGTTTTTCTTCCATTAATATCAGATGTGTTTTTTAAGATATTAGCACACACATTAAGTAGTAGTGGGAGCACCTGAGCACATCACCAACAAATATACAGACACAATCAGACGATAATCAGATTCACATGCTGAATGCCAAATGAAATTAATATTTCAACTTTGTCTATTTTACCAAATGTATAGTTATGTACAGGGTAACCATTTAAGAAAATGCTTTCAATCTACATATCAGATAAGGAATCATTTGATTAAATGATTTTGACTTAATGGGTATATTTAATAATGACAACAACATGGAACATACAGAAAACATCAATGTGTCATATTCAATGAGAATATCTATTTCACTCATTCATTTTTGTATTACATCAAGGCAAGTAATTATTAAAGAGACGGCTCATAATTATTCATCGAGCTTTCTTTCACTTCCATCTCAAGCTCAAAAGACGGAAACTCACTCTGTCACATGTAGAGTTATAAACATATATATAGCTGTAGTTGGCTGCTTTTGGAATATTAGACATTATTAGCAATGAAAATAAGTTTTTAAAAATATTGTTAGTTATGATTTAAATAATAAAGTAAAAAAATACTATAAACATCTTTATGATATCTTAATGAAATGAAACATCGATCAAATAATTTCTAATAAATTGGGCACAAGAGGGTATATAATTTTATTTTACTTCACATGACCACCGACCTAGTGTCACTACCACTATCACCACTACCATCACAACCATTCCTATAGTAAGAATCAATATCAGCTGGTTACCAGCTATAATATTCCCACAGTATGACTATTTTAATGTGTGTGATCCACAAAACTAATTCCACTGATATGCTGAAAATATGCATTTATTTGTATGATTAATTACAGTATGGGCACATTAAGGAACAAAGACCATTACTGCTCCTTAGTCTTAGATACTGTTTTTTTTAAACAGAAATGGTAAATAAAGAGTACAGAGTCACCAAAAATGTTCTTAATCATAAGTAAAAACAGGGGAAACACCAACTTCTTGCGTATACTATTATCTATGTCTGTAATGACCATTCTATAAATCCCCGTCTTTTGTAAAAATTCACTCTGTGCTTTTGTTTCTACAGCTAAAAGTTTCCTTAGAACCAGATTTGAAACCAAGAAGCAACTCCAGTCTCTGATGACTCAATGAAGTTGTGGGAAAAATTAAGATGCTTTTCAAGATAATAGGTGTTGCAGTTGAACTGGTCACATATTAGAGATTACAAACTTTGTCATCAGTAGGATTAAAAAAAAACTGATTCCAAAAAATAAAATAAAATAAAAAGTAAAATTATGTGCTGTGATATATACAAAAAAGTAAAAAAACGCCAAGAGCCCTATTTGCAATTAAAAAAGAAACCGTTTTGTTGTAAGAAGGGTAATCGACATCATTCAGAAGAAATGCATTTGTTCAAGGATCAGTGTTGCATAGAATAATTCCAGTACAATTTAGGATTCTGGTCAGCTGCAAACATGGCACACTTTGGCAGGATCTTATGCTCTCTGAAGGGGGATGCTGGTGCACGAAAAGAAGCCCTGTCATTAGCTCTCTTGATTGACCTGGCCCCATCACTAGTTCCTTGGAACAAAGGGGCACCTATAATGGAAAGACTCCTATCCCTTCAGATCAAATAGCTACCAAGGGATGATCTTTGTTTTGGTGGCACCTCATTTGTGTTATTCTAAAAGAAACGGCAACTGGAATGAAGTAAAGCTTACTGGTCATACAACCTCTGGATGTAAGTGGTTGTAGAAGAGGCCTAAGGTGAGCCACTTTCCTTTTAAGGGCAGATAGCAGAACCTTTTTAGAAGATCTCGGAAAGAGATCTTCCTGAATCCTTCCCTTCCCCAACTATGAGTGATGATTACAAACTCCCGAAAGTGCTAACTTCTGCTGGAAATATCCATAGCAACCATCAGCAGATCTAGTTGTCTCTAAAAATAAAATCCTAGCAGTATCAAATCTTCAGCGATACCCTCCCTGCATGCTCATTTTAGAGCGGTATCAGTGGTAAATGACACTGCATTGTCAGGCAGGACAGATTAAAAACACAGAGGGAAGAAAAGTGACTGTTTTCTTCCTTGGATTGGGGAAGAGTGAATTTGTATTTTTTTATGAATGTAATAAAGATATATAGCCTGGAATTTATTAGAAATTGTTTTATTTTTCATGTTTTACATTTAATCAATTCCTCTCAAATTTAAAGTATGTTTTCTTGAAAAATGAGAAAATTCAATATCCAAGTAACATATTGAAATGATTTGTCTAAACCCACTAAAATCTTACCTTTGAATAAAGAGGCAGCTTAAACTCAGAAGCAGTTTATTTTGGGGTAGTATATGGGAATAGTATAAGATTGGTATGATTCATTTCATTTATCATACCCCAATCTGCAAATCATTTTGATTTAATTCTTCACCTTTTCTCAGGTTCAACACAAGTTTGCATTTTAAAGAAAAAAATTAGTTTTGAAGCTAATACACTACTTTTATCCAAGTCAATGCTTACCATCAACATGGAGGATGTCTTTGCATATAAAATTTGAGAAATAAAAAGCTGCATAATAATTATTCCTCACTTTATGTATAAAACTATATCTGGAGATGTGCTTTCTTTTTTCCCTCACAGTTCACTTGGCTTGATCATCCCAACATTCCATTGGGAAGGCTAGGAATACATAATTATTTTCATCCTACAAATAAGAACACTGGGGAAGAGTGACTTTCAGTGACATGTGCAAGGTGACACAATTAGTCAGTGGCAAGACCAAGACAGAAGCCAGGCTTTTCATCCCAGCTGACTGCATTTCTTACAACTCCATGTTACTTCCTTTGTCTTTACTGTTGCTTGATGAAGAGGATGTCTCATTTTCATGACTTAGATATTGGTCTTTTTATTCTGTATTAATAAAATAGCTCATTATATATCATTCTCAATATAATGTTGACTTTTCCCTTATTTTCCTCATATTGATGAATTGGATCACTGCAATATTGTCACTAACAGAGGCAAATAGAGCACTCTAAAGAACTTGAGTTTGGTGTCAGGGTTTTCATTATATAATTGGTTGATGCAGTAAAGGAAAAAAAAGTATTATGGAAGAGAAGGAAATGACGCCAAGCTAATTTATCCATGTCACAGATTCCTATGATCTGTGTGCCCGAGGATAAATTTTCTCTCTTTCAACACTTCACCCAAGAGAAAAGAAATATGTGGAATAACATATATTTGCAATTCCACAAAGAACAACTTATCGTGCATCTTAGAACTTTCCAGTTTAATCTATGTTCTTCAGTATGTATGTTGAAAATGTATTGGCTTAATGGTAAGTTAAGGAGAGTTTGATATTTTCAGCCAAGGTTCCAATAGTTTTGTGGGGCAACATTCTTGTTAGCCAATCATGGCTTCATTTCTAGATAAATGTAATTCCATTTCTACTCAGTATTATCTTCACTCTACATCATTTCAAATTATACAAATGACAAATGTGCTTTCACAACGTGAATTCCAATGTTGGCATTGTTCACTCTTATAACATTTAGGCAGAGGGAAAATCTAAAAGCCATCATTTCTCCATCTCCAGTACCCTTTCCCTCTGAACACGACCACCTCATGTCTAGGCTTGAACACATACTCTCGTTGTATCCTGTGTCAGAATCTAAAAACAGTGAGTTGGCTGAGAAAATAAGATGAAGAAGAAGGATTTTTAGACTTCTGAAAACTGAGATTTGTTACATCAGTTCTTTTCTTTCCAAGTTCTTCTGCATAAATGATTAACTTTGTCTTGCATTAGAAACCATATTAATATTTGAGCAGCTGCCTTTCACTATAGTTCAACTCTGCTCACAGATGTGTGCATTAAATAATCAAAATAGCTCTCACTGTTTTTCTTGCAGCAATCCAAGGACTCGAAGCTCCTCCTTTTGGTCTCCAATAGAAGAACTTTTTCGCTTGAGTTTTTTTCTGTATTCCACAAGAAAACATTCACAAAGTTTGTAGTATGTTTCTGCCTATTGATCCTCCTCCCATGTCTACCCATAAGATCATTGTAGAATAGTATCCAACCAGAGTCTTGATTTGCAATTATTTAGAGCTGTTTCTATGCCCTGAGCAGACACATTTCTTCAATGGGTTTGAGTAGCACTGACCAAAAGTTTGTGCCAGTTGACTATTCTTTTTCTGAGATCCACTTTGTCAAGCCAGATACAGGCTTCACCGATCAAGGTCTTTTTCATAAACTTCCCTCCATTAGAGAAAAGTAAAATCTGGAAAAAATAGCCAAAAATATATACTTGCATATATTTTTTCAACCATTTTTAAGGATGTTTTATCATCAAAGAAATAACAAAGACAAGAAAGGGTGAGAGGAAGTAGCAGCTATACTTGAAAACTAATCCTCAAGATGTTCTGAAAAGATGTGCATAATATTAATTAAGTCACATCAGCATTTCCCAAAGGAAAAGACACATCCTGGAAGATATGAGAATTTTAGAAAAGACACGTATTAGCAGCTAATTGTGACTAAGTTTATGCTTACAGGAATGGAAACCTAGGTAAGGTTTCTACTAGTTTATGAAATATTAACTCAAATATGAAATTATTTGAGTGCTGAGTAAAAGCTCACAAGGCAGATAAAATGCAACATTAACTTTATCTAACATTTCATTTACTGGTGATTTTACTATGGTATGCACTTTCAAAGTGATTTCTTGTCATATGTAGAACTTATATTAGTTGAAATGCCATAGAATCTCAAATTCAAGACTTTTTTTTCTCTTTTAGAGATGAGTTGAAAGGAAGGTGGAGAGCATTAGTGCTGCTAACCATTAATCCTTGACAATTATCTCTCTCTCTCTTTTCAGAATCTCCTTTAGAGAATTCATCTTCATTATTGGCTAAAAGTTTACTTTTATGTTTCTGACTTCAAAATCTACATTTCTAGTTACAATTATTTCTTCTGCACTGTAGTTTTGAGATTTCATATGGCATTGTGTATTTTCACTTAGAGCCTGTTTTCTTATCAAATTTATCACATCTGAAACAAACCTGTGATCTTTCTCCCTCGAGATCCCCTCTCTAACTACTTAATTTCTATGTGTGACACATTTATCCACACAGATTGGAAGATATCCTTTACTTTTCTGAAAAACTTCTTTCTGCCATAATGTCTGTCAGTACTCTCACTGCAGTTTTAACTTTGCAATATTTAAAAAAAAAAGATTTAATTTATTTATTTATTCAAGAGAAACACACACAGAGAGAGAGGCAGAGACACAGGCAGAGGGAGAAGCAGGCAGGCTCTACACAGGGAGCCCAATGTGGGACTCCATCCCGGGTCTCCAGGATCACACCCTGGGCCAAAGGCACGCAACTGCTGAGCCACCCAGGCATCCCTGCAATATTTCTTATATTTGTCTTTAGTGTGGGCCTTTAAGTGCCCATATGATAGATGCTGTTTCTCTTCCCATATTTTTTTCCATCTCTTTCCTCCCACCTCCTTTCTCCTCTTTTACTCCTTGTCCGTCCATCTACTGAAGGCACACTATGTGCCAACATTGTATGAGGCTGTAGAACACAGAGCAATGAAAGCCAGGCCTTGCCCTAGAGAAGCAGCTGATACAGAAGCAGTGAGAGGTCAGTATATACATTATTGTAACAGCACAGATTAGGATTGGTAGCCTAATCAGATAAGCAAAATGTCATGTGAATAAGGCATGACGGATTGCAGCTAGGGTCATCAGTAAAGGGCAGAGTTTACATTGGAACACTGTGGGCTAGTGAGATGGGTGGAAAGAGATGAAGAAAATATTGAAGGAGAAGGGAAATAGGAGCAAAACATTGGAGGCTTAACCTGATTTGAAAAGACTGTGGTGTTTCTGGAGTACAGAGTGTGTTGGGAGGGATACAAGGAGATGAAATTAAATCAATACAATTTGAGCTCACCTTAGAGGACTATGAATGAGTCGGGATATTGGTGGGTCCCTGGAGGGCTTTAATGGAACCTACTAACCAGTGTTGTTATCTATCCACCTACCATCTATCTACCTACTTTTAATTCGAGTATACTTAACATGGGGTTGTATTAGTTACAGGTGTGCAACATAATGATTCAGCAATTCTAGACATTGTTCAGTGCTCATCACATTAAGCAAACTCTCACTACCTTCACCTATTTCACCCATCTTCCCACCCTTCTAGCCAGTGTTTTTAAAAGATATCCTCTGCCCTCTGTGTGATGGAATGGATTAAGAGGGCAAGACACTGATGGCAAGGAGGCCAGGTAGACTGCTAAAATGATCTGAGTAATAAAATTGAGGACTCAAAGAGGATTAGTGGCAGTGTGCATGGAAATAAATCTATACAGAATAAACTGAGTAGACCTAGAAGACTGGTAGCTAATTGGATGGGTGGGTGGTCTGTGGAATTCTTTTTTTTTTTTTTTTTAGGATTTTATATATTCATGAGAGACAGAGATAGAGAAAGAGAGAGAGAGAGAGAGAGAGAGGGAGAGAGAGGCAGAGACACAGGCAGAGGGAGAAGTGAGTTCCATGCAGGGACCCCAATGTGGGACTCGATCCCAGGACTCCAGGATCATGCTCTGGGCCGGAGGCAGGCGCCAAACCGCTGAGCCACCCAGGTGTCCCTGGGCTGTGCAATTCTAAGGGCCACTGGAGACATACCCCTCAGAATTATTTAACTTGTAAAATGTCTCATACTGTACGATCAGTACGCACATATTAAACAACTGAATGGAAAATACATACTGTATGATCAAAAAATTTAAAACAGTAGCAGTATAAGATGGAGTTACCTGAAGCGAATGCCCAGCAGGACTAAGGCTGAATCTAAACGTTTCATTGAATGAAGGCTCTCTATCATGTCGGCACACTCTCGTTTTTTTCTTAATCACCTTTTTCTGGGTAGAGATGTTCATCACATATATTTTTACATATAAATCTGAAAACAAGAATTCAGCTTGTAAAGTGTCCATCACTCATACAATTTCCTATTCAAAGAATTATAAGTGTCCACTGAGAGCTCCTCTATATTTTACACAAAGCGAGCAGACTATCTTCAATTTGTTTCAGACAACATAAAGGATTCAGAGATACATCATTTTTCTTAGCAACTCGGTTTTCCTATTGTATAGTAAATACATTCCTCTAGTTTAGGTGTTAAGAAAAGTTCGGTAAAAACTAGTAAATTATCAACTTGTTTTATATAAGAGAGATTAATTCTTATTTTCCATTTTTCTGATACATTTGCCATACAGCCCAAATATTACTTTGCCTTTTCCAGATTATTTAAGACACATTCCTACAGAATTCCTAGATATATTACACTGCTCATTATCATAAAATTAGATACCTGGCAAGTGGTCAGGAGATTTAAATTTGTAGGTGATATTTCTGCACTGGAGAATCTCAACTATTAGTTGTTCACCATCTGTCTTCATTTCCTTCTTCAGTGCAATCTTGATTTCTCCCATTACCTGAGTTTTGACTGGAAGAATTTAATGAAAATATTAAGGAATATTAAATGCCATCTATTAAATGTGTAGTTCAATAATTCATTCATATATACATTTGTTGAGTGTTTATCAAGTACTAAACACCTTACTCCATCCTGTGGATACAGAGATGAATAAAGTACAGTTCGAGCCCTTAAGGAGTGTAAGACCTCTTACGGAGACTGATAAATTACACACTTACAACAAAGTGTGTTAGTATAACAACAAACTAGTGAACGGGGAGGTATGGAGGAAATGCGAGTAGATAAGTGTTACTTAACTGTAGATTATTAGGGCAAAAAAGGAATAGATGAGACTATAAGACATATATCCATACTTCTTTATAAAAGAAGTAGCCAAAGGAATGTGTAGTAATGAAATTGCACCAGGGAACATACAATGAGTGACCTAAAAAATCCAAAGTATTTATTTCAAGTGTTTATCTTGGATCTTTGTATAACTGAAGAAGCTATTCATGTTAGGTCCTGTTCTTGAATGATTCGTCCTTTCCTCTGTCAATTCATATATGCATCTATATATTCAATCACCAACAAATATTTTATTTCCCACCCTACCCTACGATAAGCACTCTGTTAGGAAGAATGGCTATCATGGTGAGCCAAAACACACATGCTTATTGGTTTTATGGTCTTTACACCTTTTGGGAAGAAAGCCTTAATGAATTATTTTCATCCATAAATGCAAAATTAGAAAAAGAAAAAAGGTAATGAAATACAAGAGCATAGCTCCAAGAGAGCCTGAGGAAGAACTACTTGAGCTGAAACCAGAAGATTGAGAAAGAGTTAACTAGTTGAAATGGATTAAGAACATGCTACAGAGAAGGAACAGTGTGTGCACAGGAGGGAACATCGTGATACTGAGGAATTAAATGTATATTCTTGTGATTATTACATATTGTTAAATGGCATCATGTAAACAATTTGGTTTTTATACTTAGAACAGTAGGAAACTACTGAAGATTTTTAAGTTTGAAGATAGATCACTTGTTCTCAAACATCTTGGTTTCAGACCTCTTTACACTCCAAAAAAACGAATGGTCCTCAAAGAACCATTGTGTGTATTATAGCTACCAATATTAGAAATTTAACATTTTTTTTTTAAATTTAACATTTCTAATTAAAATGAAAAATGAGATATTTTAAAATATTTATTGATTCCATTAAAATAACAATAATAAGTAAATATTTTAATGAAAAATAACCATATTTTCCAAAACAAAAACATATAGTGAGGAATGCCATTTCTTATTTTTTCCAAATTTCATTAATGTTTTTCTTAATAAAAGACAGCTGGATTCTCATATCTGTTTCTATTAAATCCAATTCAATATGTTGTTTTAGTTGAAATATATGAAAAATGTCTAACTCATACAAATAGTTGGAAAAGGGAGAAGTATTTTAATATCCTCTTTAGATAATGTTAGATTATTAAAATTTGACAAGAGGTAATTTCTTACAGATTAAAGGAAATATGGAATCTGAAATTATATCAATGGACTTTTTGAATGATTGCTTTAAAATACAGCAATCTATCCTGAATTATTTTATCTTGCATTTAGAATGGCTCTTTTAACCATGCCTGACTTGGTAACAGCATATTGTTCATTTTGGAAAATACTCATTCACTGGGTTATGCAGGTCTTGTTGACCCATTTCATAAAATATTTAAAACACATGTGTTAATATCACTACCGATATCATCAGAAAGGTCTTTGAATATTGAGAAGCCTCTAAGCTCAGGAAGGCAGATACAAGTTTTCTAAAGTTCTATTTTTAATTAAAAGTTGAATTTTTTAAAATATTTTTTTGAATTTATTTATTCATGAGAGACACAGAGAGAGAGTGAGAGGAAGAGACATAGGCAGAGGGAGAAGCAGGCTCCATGCAGGGAGCCCAACGTGGGACTTGAACCCAGTTCTCCAGGATCATGCCCTGGGCCGAAGGCAGTGCTAAACCGCTGAGCCACCAGGCTTCCCAAAAGCTGAATTTTATCACTGAAAACTATCATCGCTTGTTTTTCTTAAAGTGACAAACTCACTTTGTTAATTTTTGAGAATAAGTAGCATTTGTCTACTGTTATTCTTTTTTAGCAAAAATTACATTTTCTATTAAAAAGGCTAGTTCAGTTTGTGACTCAAAAAAAGGCACAGACAGGTTTCCTCAAGTCAACTATCATAATTTGGCAGGCAGCATAGTGCTTTATGTATATTTCCATTTCATCTCACAGAATTGTGTGACGTGATGTAGAAAGACATGTGCTTAGGGTCTAGGTTTAAAAACAATAATTTAAACTTCCTCATTAAGGACAGTCTTGAGCGAAACCGGCATTTTCCTTATAAGTGAATGCCAGTTAAAAATAGATAAATACAGTAACTGGTAATATGCCTTGCTTTGTGCTAGGGTCCCCAGCGGTTTATTGCATCATTGCGTTTGCATTATCAATGTAAATGTCAGCACAGTGAAAAGGTAAATAATATCTCAGTATATTTAAAAAACAATTCTGATCTCACGCATGCATGTAAACATTATATAGAATATAGACTATAGTTGATCATATTTGAGAGGAGACTAAAGTAATAAAAGCATTTTGTGCAAAACTATGAAAATATGAGATGGTAATTATTTAATCCTTTTGATTAAACTTTGTGATATTTTGGGGACATGTTTTGACGTATTTCTTTCCTGGAGATTAATGAGAATAACAGTAAAAGATTTACAAAACATTTGTTATACAAGATAGGGCAAGTAGACCAAAATAAGTAAAGACACAGAATATTGAGATATTATAATCAATAAAACAGATCTCATGTATATTAATTAAATACCACACCCTGATAATAAATCTTTTTCTCAATTACATACGGATCATTCCCCAAACTCACCCATACTGTTACAAAGAAGATAGCAGTAAGTTCTATAAAATGAAGCTATTATAAACATTGATCATACACAAATAGGCTTTAATTAAATAATTCTTGGGCAAATGGTGAAATACAATGAGAAAATACAGAAGTTCTGAAAAATGATGATAATGAAAATACTATGTTTCAGAATCTGGGAGAGTTAAAGTAATGCTGGGAAGAAAATCAATAGCCTTACACACTTATATAATTTAAAACAATGATTAAAAAAACTCCATATATGCATTAATGTTCTACAAATAATTCTAGGGGCACCTGGGTGGCTCAGACAGTTAAGTGTCTGCCTTCAGATCAGGTCATGATCTCAGGGTCCTGGGATCAAGTCCTACATTGGGTTCCCTGCTCCGTGGGGGAGTCTGCTGCTCCCTCTCCCTCTGCCTATCACCTCCCTGCTTGTGTTCTCTCTCCTTCTCTGTCAAATAAATAAAATCTTAAAAAAATTTTTTTTAATGTAAGAAATTTAAACTTCCAACTCCAAGAGTTAGAAAAAGAATAAAGTAAAACAAAAGAAAGTGTAAAGAAGGAAATAATCGACATATACACTAAAATTAATGAGGTAAAGAAGAGAAAAATAGTGGATAAAATTAATGAATCAAAATTCTGAATAGTATCTGGTACTCTGAATAGTAAAACAGAAAAAAAAAAAAAGAAAGAAGAAAGAAGAGGAAAGGATGAAGGTGATGTAGGAATGAGTTAGGGGCAGATGGGGCTAGTCAGGGAAAGATAGGGGAAAGGCCCCAGAGTCAAGCTCCTACCCATCCCAAGAAAACAGAGATAAAACAGTGAAAACAAAAAATAAACCTGGCTCCCCAGCTCCACAGTGTTAGGCAGTATCCCCCTTTAATGGCCACTAAGTAATCACAGAAATCCCAGATATAGGAAACTATGGAGGAGTATTAACCAGAGAGAAGGGAACACCTTCTTTGTGCTCATGATATTTACAAAAAATCACCTTGTTTGTTATTAGGAAGGTTACACGTCCACCATGTTTGTTCTAAATATCCACCCTGATGTAGATAAGAAAGTTACCAAGTTCCCTGATCAGTTTCCTATAATAAAGACCCACACTACAAGCCCTCAGTGGCAACCCTGTGGGGACCCCTCTCACTCCTGAGAGCTTTCTCTGTATCTCTGCCTAATAAACTTGTATTGCTTTGTTCACTCTGTGTTGGCAAGATTCATTCTTCGACTGTGCGACAAGAACCAAGCTCTTCTGCATCAAAGGGATGTTGAGAGCATAGTTCAAAGATGAGATGATAAAAAATGGGGTTACAGTGCTAAAATACAAATAGTCCCTTTTTTAAAACTCTTAATGAATTAGAAACACCATGGAACAAAGTCGAATGAGATAGAAATCAATATTACTGACATAGAGGGAGGAAGGCTTAGGATAATATAGAAAGGAAAACAGAGAGCTTCTTTACTAGAAAAAAGTGCTATCACTATATGTCAAACTGAGAAATAGGATCCAATATAACTGATTGCTCAGGAAAGGTAAATTTTTTTTTTTTTTTTTTTTTTAGGAAAAGTAAATTTTAAGACACCAGAAAATCGCATGTATTTAAAATATAAAGGTATTTATCTGAAGTAACAGAAAAGTAAATCTGTGGATCAAAAGAGTATCCTGTATTCCCGGGAAATATTGATTAGCTGATACACTGATAACTCTCATTTAAGCGTCTTCAAAAATATAGAAAACACTTTTAAAGGAGCCAGGGGAAAAAATATGTCCCCTGAATGAATACATCAATGTAGGGGAAAAGTACCTTTTTGAAAATATTTAAAAGCCTGTGGCAGAGGAAATAGAGGATTTAGTAATGAGAGAAAGAAAGGAAGGGAGGCAGGGAGGCAGGGAGGGAGGAAGAGCGGAAGTGGAGGGAGGAGAGAAGGAAAGATGAATATGAAATCCAAGAGGAGAGAGGAAGAAAGTAGAAGCATGCTGATTTCCTTTAAGCGGAGAATTAATCAATAAAATTTAAAATTGAAATATAGTATTGAAAATCATAATTGCTTAACCTCTTAATATTTTCAATTTTGCTTCTTGAGCTTAGT